GCAGCATCGCGCAAGAGCGTAATGATGTCAGCAGCTGCTGCTTCAGTTCAGTCTGAAGCTTGAAAGCAAGCTTTTAAGCTTCAGACTGAACTGAAGCAGCAGCTGCTGACATCATTACGCTCTTGCGCGATGCTGCGTTCAGGACAAGCATGGAAAACTCACCACTCTTATGCCAATACGGTTGCAATGATGCATTTAGGTACCGAAATGGAATTGCATGAACATTCACGTGGTGGTTATGTAATACAGCGAATCAATAATAAAAAATCTGCGTCGACAAATTTACATAAACGACGTCATCGATTATTTCAAGTAATCGGTGCAGCTCTAATAAAAAGCAAAGTCTGACAAACTAGAAACCGTTTCTACAAATTCTGTTTTTAACTTGATCTGGTTTTACCTCTACAGATTCAACAGTCTGAAGCCACGAGCCTACCTGTGAACCTGGAGGAAGTAGCAGATGGTGTCCTCCCATGCCGTGCTTTCCGGTTGCCATGTTGAGGCCTGGTGCTAAGGCTAAGCCAAGAGGAGGGAAGGACACATATGCTGGTAAGGTTGGTGGAGGGAGGGGGCATGGCACTGCTGAATCCGAGTCCTGAAAGATCCAAAAGGAAAGGCTGGGAGTAGAACCAACAAACTACAATATGTGTTTGGAAGTATACAGTCACACTAAACTACAGAATTACATGTAATTCTAAGAGAGTGGGATTTCTTACGTTGTCTGATCCAGACAGTGAAGACACAGATGAGTCTGATGAGTGCTGCTGAGGGCTGGAGATGGACATGGGGGAGTCAGCACTGTGAGGCGACACAGAGTCCCGTTGCTGCTCTTCTGAACCCCCACCACCAGGCTCACAGGGCTCCTGGTTGGAAACTGGCTCTCTGGGAAACAACACTATAAAAAAATAAAAATAAATAAGACAGGTGCACTCTGTGGTATTATCTGACTCAAAACAAATAGCAAATTCAAACAATTTTATTTTGTCTGTGCAGCAAATCTACTCAATGTTATTCATACAGTCTCAGATTGAAACAATCACCAGCATAGCTGCATCAACAGAATCATAAAACCTGATCGTACCTCTGTTGTCCGTCGGCGGTGAATCCTTGCCCCCCCACTTCCTAATGATCCATTCCCTGTACTTGATGACTTCCTGGGTCAGCCGGATGATCCTCCCCAACGTGCTGCAGGGAACAGAGGAGCAGATTTAAACCAACACCTCTTTATTCCATGAAACACAAACTGCTTCTGAACGCACTCGGCTCTGACCTTTCACAGTCTTTGTTGGGATAGGACCTTGCGAGCGGTGACACAGCATGACTCAGCACAATGTAGGCATAGTCAAACGCCTGCTTGACTTGTATGGCACCATAAGAACCCCTCCCCACATCATTGCCTACATGAGGACAAAATGAAAAATAACAAAAATATAGTAAACATAAGCTAGTATTTTAGTATATATTTTTTTAACCCTTACTGTGATGGGTTGTGGATTAGGAGACAGACTTACCTGGAACCAGTGGGTCCTCTATACAGAGCATAGACGGCCTGTTTCCATTGGTCATGGCCTTCATCATTTCGTCTTTCGATACGTATGCGCCTCCATTTGTGAGGCGAATTGCTGTTTTCAAGTAGTTGAACTGGCGGCCGTACAACTCAAAGAACTCGATCAGTAACATGCCCAGGTTCTGGTTGGGGATTCTGGCATCAATACGAGGATGAAGCTGAAAGGAAAATAAATCAGGATTAAGATGTAATACTGGCCATTAATTCAGCTTATTTACATCAGTATACACCACCACCAGTGTTTCAAATCATATTTAACTTAACTAATTTAACTATGAATACCATATTGTCTTACATGTACTGGGTTAAATCACTGTACCTGTAGGAAACTAATGACCATAAGGATGAGGCTGTAGGAGCTAATGCCCCCAGTGAAGACTTCATTCAGATCTCTCTGCAGCAGGAACTGCTTCAGTACAAAGATCAGGTAAGGCAGAACCGGGTACTCCTAAAAGTGGACGGCAGATTAATCAGATCATTCAGTGCAAACGGGTCACAGGTGTCAGTGTTTTTTTTTATTTTAAATTGACATATACATTTAAATTCTTCAGTCTGGGTCTATATAAAGTGGAACTGCAATGCTTTGGTCTGAAGTTCTCCTTATTGTAACTGCAGAAGCCCCTCTTTCACCCCTTTTCTGAGGTGGATCTCAGATGAACTTGTTTTGACGCTGTCTCTTTAAATCCAAACGAGGCGCGTCAAACCCCGCCTTATTTTGCAGTTTTATCACAAAAAACTGTGACGTCATAGTTCAGAAAATGTAACAGAGAAAACTGAACAGACTGAAATATATGACCCAAACATAGGGCTAGGCAGTATGACATCAAATTCATACCACGGTATAAATTGAATGCCTTCTCGGTAACGGTATATATCGCGGTAGAAAATCATCATAAAAAGCAAAGATAATCTAATTTTTGGAGCATTTATTTAGCAGAAAACTAATCATAATCAAACCCAGCATTTTTCCTGTAGTGCAAATGAAGGTAACAGAAGTACAAAATATATATATA